AGAAACATTTTAGTGACTTTGTTTCAAAGAAACCTCACCTTAGTTTTAAAAGACCTATTCAACGATACCCTACTCAATATTACAGAAGAAAAAAAAATTTTTTGCCCCCCTTTCACTTGTATGGGAGGGGGTCCAAAAAACATTTAAAATATTTTTTTCTTAACATTTCTATATTTGGGTCAACACGATCTATCTTCTCACCAAATTTCATGTCGATAGCTCTAAAACTGACTAAGATATGAGGGCGCGGCATACAGACAGACAGACAGACAGACAGACATGACGAAACTATAAGGGTTTCTAGTAGACTACGAAACCCTAAAAACTCCTGCATATTTTAGATCGTACAGGATAAGTAAAACAACACGCGCAAAATCTTTGATGTACCTACTTATTTCTATGTACACAGATACTTACTTATTCAAACATAATTTTATGAACAACAGCTTTTAAGCTGTTGTTCTAAGAAAACTTTGCAGGCGTGATCGCTGAAAAACGAAATATGGTCAAAAAAGAAAATAAAATCAGCGTCCTATATTAAAATCACTATAACCTTTGTATAAAATGTTAAATTATAGAACGTGATATGTGTGGTGTGATAATGATTATAGATATTCGTAATGCGCTTTCAAATGAATACAATCAAATGCAAAATATCTAAATTATTGGTAGCGTATATCGAAAAGCTAATTTATGTTCTCATCAATTTGAAAATCTGATTATAACCGGTCCAGTGCCTACGTTGAATCAATAGAGGTCTAATTTGTTTGTTTGTTTGTATCATCAATATTTTTATATGTTTTTAGACATATATATCGGCAACACATCATCCGCCCATTTAATTGATTGATAGCTGATATTAAAAGGAATAAGTTTATACATACAAACATACATCTATCACGCCTCTATCCCTTGCAGGGCAGACAGAGCGTAAACGGCTGTAAAGAAATGGTCCTCTACATCACGTCTGACAATAGTTTGAGAGTTATTGTCAGCCTGTCGCCTAAAATTGCAATACACATCAATTCTAAAATCCCTTAGTCGCTTCTTACGACACGTGATAGGTATATGTAGGTATGTATAGCTGATATTGAAAGTGATTAGAAATTTATGGTCTACGAAACTTTATTCTGTGTATACGTACTGTGGTAAATTGGAAAGCAAATTCTGCGTGAAAGGCACATTATTCTGAATCTACTCTTCAGTTCAGCTCGTAACACGAAACATGTAATTTATATGCTGTATACATAAAAGATGTGTTGTAGGTCGTATGTGTTTTCAGAAAACTCAAGCATGCAATTTGGGCTCTCTCTAATTTGCTATCCGTGATGAATACAACTTTTTGTATCAGGTTCTGTAAAGCCTGTAGGATTACCTAAGTATTAGCTTATCTCATTGATTAGGCTATTCATAGCCTGGGCCACGATCTCTGAAAATGCTTACTTTCCTTTCAGCTGAGGTAGATCATTACCTACCACAAAGAACAGTCATAAAACACTGGACAGAGGCTGGGAATAATAAAAACTCAAGTAAATATCTCATTCTTTTTCCAGCAAAATGGACACTTTGTCCGGGAATTCCGAGCTCCATGCACCTGTTTTGCATAAAACGGAGCTCGTAGCCAGCCCGTAGCATTGTGCTACGCCGTAACCAGTCCGTAGCAAAGTGAACTCTCTCAAAGCTTTTTATGTTTCAAATAAAAACCCATATTTGTTGAGGCTACGAAATTGTGCTATTTAACCGACTTTGAAAAAGAGATGGTATGTTTGTATGTGTTACAACAAATGTTATTCTTATTTCCTATAATACACTTCGTCTGCAATTTATGATATTTCGCTATTTACATAAGGGACAAGAATATTGTTTTCATTTTAGTATGTATCTATTTTGATACTGATGTGTTGTACTGTGCAGCGGGCTTATATTACTAAAATCAATCAAGCATTTACCTACCTACTGTGTCTGTTTCTACAAAGAATAACATACGGTTCACTTAATGCTACGTGCATCTTCTCAAAAAGAGTCTGAACTGAAAGCTGTTTGTTGCACCAGACAAGAATCTGTGACGGCCGCAATTAGATGCAGTGACGTCATCGTGAAATCCGTGGGGATGATGGGATTTCGTAAACTCCTTTACGTCAAAATAGCTGAAAATTATACCGAACAATCATTGAGTTTCGTGACATGACTGAAAACTAGAGGTCCTACCTTAAGGCTCAACTTTAGCGACATTAGCACCTCTCAGTGAAAAAAACTCACTGACTGAATACGCAAGAGATTGGGACACCACATTATGAATTAACGACAATAACTAACCACGAAGATTTTTTTGAAAATCTTAGGATAACTGCGCTTTAGTTATGTAGGTATGCCGAAATTGCTGAATGTGGCATGTGACGTGCGTCATCGTTAAATCCGTAGGGATGATGGGATTTCGTAAACTCCTTTACGTCAAAAAATCCGAATCTGACAAAATACCCGAAAATAACGCAGTAGAATAAGCAAAAATCTTAGGAGACAAACACACGGTATCGCCGTTTGGGCGTTGCGTCGTTTATTCGATTTACTTATTTTCATACGGATATAGTTTATGTCAATTGGTTTGTCAGATGCATCCGTCGACGCAGCTTTGTGCGATGCAGTTTGACATAAACCGTATTCGTATGACGGTAGGGTGGAGAATCGAATGAATGACGCACACAAACGGACGTTGCGTGTGTTTCTAGCTTTACAAAGGCTTTGTATAGTTAAAATGTTAGTTTATTTACAAATTAGCCGAATGTGACGTGAGAATGCGAGATCTTTGTTTGTGGGCTGTTACGGCCCTTAATTGCCTTTTGGCGTGTAAATTAATATTGTTACGTTATTGTTATGTATTCTAAGGTCAATGGGTACCTAGTTAGATAGTTGTTGGGAATTTATTTGATTCTAATTTTAGGGTCTTTTGTATTTTCGGGGTTTGTAGGTAGTTGTAGGCATGGGCAGGCATATTTCATTTCACAAAATCCAACACCCTAGAGAAAGTTTGAAGTAAAATTTCTATTAACTTCTTTCAATCTTCTTCGTGCCGTGTGGTGCCGGCTCAGATAAACTTTTTCGCGGGTGTCGTAATAAGCAAGTAAGGGATTTGAGTGTATTGAAATTTCAGGCGACAGGCTGACATCCTGTCACTATATAGTCTTATGAATGACTCTCAAGCTTTTGTTAGACGTGGTGTAAATGGCCGTTTCGTACAACTGTTGACGAGTTCTTTGTACGGGCAGGTTGCGGACAGGGTACTAAGGTACCTCTATTTGGTGCTTATTCTAAATTAAATAAAATTACGCATCTCTTCGAGCATCCTTTACATGGACCTCGTTTGAAAGGTCCATTAGGGGTGACGCAACAAACTGGTTTTTTATACTCCAGTAGGGCAGTAAGAGGGCAGTACTTAAATCCAAAGTAAGTGCAGCGGAGTTTTCTTACGAGTTGTGATTATGATATTCCATACTCACCGAAAATTCAGAAACTGATCTGTCTGTACATAGGTATAGTCCATACGCTAAGCGGGAGGCCAAGTTACGCTGTCGCAATACTTAGATACTACTCGACCAACGTAACTTGGCCTCCCGCTTAAGCTGGTCATGTTATGACACTATGTTAGCAGATGGACCTTATCTACGTTTTGGTTCATGAATTCCGTGACAAAACTTTCCACAGGAACTGTAGAGCTGATCTCCAGAGCTGAGGAAAATCGATTTTGTAGTTCCGGAACTAACAACAAGAACAATTTGAAATACAGGGTGTTAGGGACGGTGTAACGAAAACTTTGCAGGCGTGCTCAGACCATGAAACTGAACAACTTTTACTATGGAGCTAATGGTGGGAAACGAAAAAAAATTTTCGGTCTCCCATACAAAGTCAGTCAGCTGATCGTGAATTTTGTATGGGAGGTCGGAAATTTTTCGTTTCCCACCATTGGCTCCATAGTAAAAGTTGTTCAGTTTGATGGTCTGGTCATGCCTGCAAAGTTTTCGTTACACCGTCCCTAACACCCCGTATAATCTGTAAGCAAACTACATTTTAATCCCTGACTCTAAAGTCCATATTTTATGGATAGATTTGTTTTATATAAGGTCATGACATGATATGACTGAAGCAAAAGTATACTCATGCATGCAGCAGATGACTCACTCAGTACTAGCGACGATTTTGACGCTTGCTGACTTTAACTGGAAATAACTGGAATCTCAGGAGAAGTCAAGGTAACTAAGAAGATGGTTGACACGAACGTTTCTTGGATTTAAAATTGGCTCAGAATCATATGACGTGCTGTTTTGATATTTTCATACTTTGAAATTTTTGACAGTAGCAACCCTGGCTATGTAACAAGTGCCAATCGCGAAAATCCGAAATATGGCCGAGTGAACCTTCTGTTAGTGCATGCAGTGCCTAGGTACTTGCTACTTTAACAGCCTAGGTACTTGTTACTGAATAAATAATGAACTCAGGATAGCAGTAGGCAGTGCCCGGAACTTCGTAGCACTAAGTTCGCGCCATACCGTTTGCACGGATTCATTTAAGCAAAGTGCTGCTCGCCTGGAATGCGGTCGTTGCTTCTGACTAGCCTCTGGACTGGACCACGGAGTACAAGTTTATTGATTTATGTACTTAGGGCCTTAATTACCACAAAAAAGATAGACCAGCAGCGAAAATAAAGGTGGGCTTAAAAACCAAGCGACAGCGACAACGACGCGCGTCGTTGCCGCTGTCAAATGACTGGTTTGTATGGGTTTGTATGGGGAACCAGAAAAACCGAGCGACGGCGTCGATGCGGCGCGCCACGACGCCGTCACGTTGACAGCGCGCTGAGAAGCTTAGAGTTTGTATGGGATGCGGTCGGGTTTTTCTACAAGACCGCAGCGACAACGACGCCGTCAAAATTTGACGGCGACAACGACGCGCGTCGTTGTCGCGTCGCTTGGTTTTTAAGCCTATCTTAAGAAATAGAAAAAATGTCATACATCGACCGGGAATCGAACCCGGGCCGCATGGGTAAACGCCCCACCGCTCTGCCACTGAGCTTACGATGCACCGGTTGATGAATGCCAAATTTTCTATCTCCTGATGCTCGTCTCCAAGCGACGATCCAACGTTCGACGAGCGTTCAACGCGTGTCTAGCGTTTTTTTTGTATGAAGTTTTATTTTAAACACGCGTTCGACTCGCGTCTAACTTTTTTGTAGTAACGCCCTTAGTGTTTTTTTCAGTATCTTGTGCAGCGGTAGAAAAATTTGCACCCAGTATGGAATACGGTCTTCATTAGGGCTTGCCGTTGACTTGCATTATCTTTAATGGATCACGCTGAGACAACTTTTGCAGACATGTATACAGTAAACCGTACTTTATAGCTTTTCACAAGTTTACCGGTTGAATACTGACGACATGGTCTAAGCTAGCATCAGTAGTCGAAAGTTGCAAACTTTTACACAAGATTTATGAAGGCTAAGTGCCGCCCGCATGGTATACAATCCTCGACCCATCCATACTACAGACAGGCATAATCCTTGTAATGTTCAGGGTGAAAAATGTGTCAAATCAATCTCAGTCTTATAATCAAATACACTTCCCATCAGAAAAATCGAGACACTTTAGCAAGTGTACGTTTTGTACGAAGCATATTATCTGAGATACTTGTTTATTAAGGAATAAGTATCTAGTATCGTTCAATAGTGTGTATTACGAGGTTTCTAAATCATAATGTCAATGTTCTAAATTCAACTTTAAATTGCATAGATTTTATAGTTTGTTTAACTATGAAAACGAATGTCTCGATTTTTTTGATGAGAAGTATATAACAGAGTTCGTTGGAATTGGTATAATGTATGAATGTATCAATAATGTCTGAATGTATCACAATAATGCACTCACTCACTCACACCACACTACACAAAAACATCAACATCACCATCATTACATTACATTACATACACTCTAACACAACTTGCAATGTGTGGCAGACCATATTTAGATTTCTTTAATTGTTATTACACTTTTGAATTAGTACCTACCTTCTTAATTACTTAAACCATACATTTACCTATAAATAAGGATTAAAATAGTTTGTTCTCGAAAGTCGGATTGTAACTTAAAAATACCCTCTTATATAACTATCTATATGGTAAATATAATGGAGGTCTGTAATTGGCTTATGTTTAGAATACTTGTATATTATGTTTGTTAACTGTTATGTACTATAGCTGTAGACTTCAGTTTTAAATAAAAATAAATAAATAAATAAATGTATGAAATATGACATCCCGCATGATAAATAATTGTAGTCATAATCGAACAATCCGAATTTCTGAGTCATTAATTCCTAGACCGAACGAACTGCTGCGAACATTAGTTCTAATGAACTATGCGTATTTTATCCTAAGAAAGATCATCTACAATAAGTAGTAGTAGCCGGTTTGAAAAATTATGATACCAAGGTTTATTGGGTCGTCCATCCTTCCGTTCAACCACACGAAAAGAAGAAAATGTTCGAAGTATTCATTCGAATAGGGCACATTTGCCAGCTGCCATCCACATACTAGAAGACATGTCAACAAACAAAATTACACCTCATGCCATAGCATTACCTATAGTTATTTTGACAGCTGTGAAATATGCCCTATTCGAATGGTCGTACTGTAGGTACATAGATAGAGGTTCTTTTCTGTAGGTAGCTATAATCTCATCCCGCCAGGACTCATTTAGCCTAAGTGCTGCCCTGCGTGAAGAGTGCGTACCCAGACATTTGTAATGGACACCGCTGGCTCGCGACGAGTTTAATGGCCCACGGAGATGTAATAACATAAATTATTCTTATGACGTAGGTAGCTGAATAAAAAAGGCAGTTTTGAAGATTATAATATATGCTTAAGTGATTAAATAACTAGATTTCAGGCAGTGTTTTGGCGGAATCGGTGTTTTTACGAAGTCTCATACAAAATTGTATACCAAACTCAGACAGTGTTATAATTTGATATTATCAACAAAGAAAAATAGAACTCGTCATAGAACACGATTTTGACAGCTATCAAATATGCCCTATTCAAACGGTCGTACTATACCTATATAGAAGTTATTTTTTGTAGGTAGCCATAATCCCATCCCGCCAGGACTCATTTAGTCTAAGTGCTGCCCTGCGTGAAGAGTGCGTACCCAGACATTTGTAATGGACACCGCTGGCTCGCGACGAGTTTAATGGCCCACGGAGATGTAATAACATAAATTATTCTTATGACGTAGGTAGCTAAATAAAAAAAAGGCCGTTTTGAAGATTATAATATATGCGTAAGTGATTAAAAATAACTAGATTTCAGACAGTGTTTTGGCGGAATCGGTGTTTTTACGAAAAGAGTTTCCGAAGTCTCATACAAAATTTTCTACCGCAGTAGGTAGGATTGTATACCAAACTCAAACAGAGTTTAAAATTTAATATTATCATACAAAACCCATGTATTACGACATATGCAAGTTTTACGACATACTGAGTGACGAATTATTTTTCAAGGTGTACAGGAGGTCCAAGTATATTTTTCATATTTCGAAGAAAAGTTTCTAATAAACGTTGTTCAATTTTATGAGTAGAACAGGCCCTTAAAATATTTGTACTTCATTAAATGTAACCTTATATAATGTATCAAACTGTAAACTTCTTGCGATACAGTTTCAGCAATTTTCTTACAATTTCCTTTTTCTCGGAAAGTTTGCACTGAGAAAATATTTCGCTCCGAGAGACTTGTTCCGGAGCTTTTTGCTATCATTTATCAAATATTTTTGTATGATGGGTTGGGTCATATTAGTAGGTTCCTACAGCAGAAATTGTAAAAAGAACAAATATTCGTAGACGGACACTTACACGCCATGCTATATGTATAATCAAACATTGTACACATATTTAAAATTCTTTGACATCGTTGCAACTGTTCTATAACACCATTGCTGTGTAAGTTTTACCTATAACAAATTATCTAGTTCATTCACTAGTTGGGTTTGCTTTGTACGCTGTCCTATCAACCCACTTAATCTCGCATCAAGCAAGACGTTTAAACAATGTAACAGTTTAAACTTGAAGATTCTATTCAAGCTTTATGAGTAGTTACTTACTATAGCTATAGCTATAAGTTCCAGTAAATCGCTTACCCTTTGTCTTCAACTGAGATTACTTGGGCGAAGACGGCGGAACACTTGAAGTGGCTTCAGTTGGTCTTTAGTTAAATCTTGAGTCACCTACCTAACTATAAGGCTTAAACTCTATTGAAGAGACGTGCGATACGAGACGCAAAATCACATCTGTCTGACAAGTGATCGTTGAATACGAAAGACGTGCGACTTTGCGACGTTTGAAACCGTTTCCATATATAAAATGTATAAAACATAAGAGACGCTGTTTAACACACGTGACGTCTCACGTCGCATCGTTGACGGCTTGACGATCACTTTTCTGATCTAATAGATGTCATCTTAAGTCTTGCGTCGCACGTCCCGGCTGTGAAGATCACCCCTAATTATAAATATGTATAATGCGTGCAAATATGTTTCAAGCGGTGAGCCAGCCAAAGTTCTGTAATGATCTATGCAATAAATAAATGCTGAATAGGTACATAATACAGCCCTAAAAGGCAGGCCATAAAACTGGTTAACTTTTTACACGTGTATATTATGGATCGCAACTTACCCGCGCAAAGTCGTCTGCTGGACTTGATTTGACATGTATGAATTCTCGTATCGTATGTATAACAAACAACATAGTCAGATAATATTTTATGTCATATTTATACAATTGGAAATTGCGTGACTAAAATTTGTCCCAGATGAGTACTGACCCTATTATTATTGACCTTGGAGTCTAGAGAAGGTGTGTATTTCATTATTATGATGAAGCTATTCAAAAGCTTAGAAAGACAACGCAAACTGACAGCATTAATGAATAATTTTATTATTCGAGCGCCTTTTATAATGAATGCAAATTAAATTGTTTTGATAAACAGTGTCATAAATAAGAAAGAATTATTGCTTTTTTCGCTGGATACATTTTCATTTTACACCCAAAAGTTTCTATCTTAGGTGTATCGGGTACATAATATCTTGTCTTTAGACTTCACTCCTTGGGCCTGCCTCTTTACCGATATCTGGACTATAATAGACCTATCCACGGCCTTCCAATTTTCAAAAAGTATTCTAAGCCAGCTGAAGTGACTCACGTAGACAGTAAACCTTGCTTAGCGCTTAGCCACGACAAGATTTCACGCGAAGGTATTTCTAATTAATCTTAGGGCTACAAAGGCGACCTCTACACTCTCAAGTCTCGTGACCACAGATCGCAAAGTTTTAACCAGACAAAAGGAACTACAGTAAATGTGCGAGTTCATGACCATCCTGAAATATGTGCCTCTTTGTCGCACTTGCAGTGGCGTTCATTTGAGGATGGTCATGAACTCTCACACGTACTGTGGACACTGTCACGTTATTCAAAATGTTTAAGACTACTACGTTTATAGCGCACGAAATTGCTATCGTAAGGAAAAATACTTAATTGAAAATCTGTTCTACATATTTAACGAGTCTTCTTTTGCTTATGAGTTGTCTATAGGGATTTTGTGTCTGTGTTAGAGACTTACATCACGTTTCAGATTCCCAGTATGTTTCACTAAATTACTGAGTTCAGACATGTTCGTTAAGTTTATGGTAATTGCAGAGCTGCAATTTGCACATCTCTTCCATAGTAAGGGTTTCGTTCATTATTTAGATTTTGAATGTAATCATTTCCCAAAGTACTATTACTATTCTTTGTACTACTACAGGTAGTACAATGTTATATACATCGCCTAGTATAATTATCGCCCTACTCAGTCAATAAAATAATTAACGTATAATACTTTTGCTTCAAGGGCAGCTCAACTTTCGTTTTTTTTTGCGGGACAGAATCAAGATCAACATCAAACAATAATGATAGACAATAAAAGACATTAGTTTACCCTTAGCTACGAACGCTACCCTTAGATAGCCATGTTAAGTTTATTTCGTTGTCGTATGCAGCGGAA